TGGTTGTTATAAACCTGTTGTAAGGTCATAACCTGTAGGTTGTTCGTCTATAACGCAGAGATTACATCCTGAAGGCCCGTGGGTTCAATAGTGTTTCACAGGTGTGCTATTCATCACTGACAATGCTTCGGCTTATTTTTCTGTTTGTTTTGTTTTTCAACAAATTAGTTGCAACATTTAAAAATGAGGAGACTTAAACTCTGCGTTTCTAACTTCTCTCTTAAAATTGGCTCTTTTGGCAACAACGTGCCCACATTTTTCAATGGTGTGGGTGTCCCTTTGAGGAAGGTGAGTGCCTGGCAGGTGGCGCAGTCCGTGAGCAGGGCTTGTGCTGTGGGGTTCACTCTGCTGCACCACCCCATCTCCTACGCCAAGGCTAAAGCTCAGTGGTCCGTTATCAATATTCTCGCATGGTTGCTTTTTCTATTTTGAGTCATTTTGCTCACTTGTCAGTCAGGTTTATATATATTTGAGCTTGGGACCTCAAGTCTAACCTTTGCTTTTTTGCTCATTAAATAGGATGTAATTTTTTTCTTTAGAATGTTTCCTATCACTCATTTCTATGCTGCTGAGAATGTGAAGTCTGTGAGTGAACTGTTGGATGGGACCCAGAATCATCATTTGGCAATAAGATGTAGTGTGATGACTTAGATCCAACAGCCTCAGAAAACTTGTCTGGGAACTTCCTTGGAGTCTAGATTTAGCCACAGGCTACATTTTGTAAGCATCTTAATTTATATTGCACTGAAAGGCATATGCATCCTTTTAAAAAGTCATATTTAATGTTTTCCTTGCTAACCATATCGAATCAATAGCCAATTTTTGGTTCTATATATTTTTCTGGCTTTATTCTGAATCCTTGATCCTTGGAGTAGCCTCTTAACCTGGCTAGCTTTAATTACTTTCCTAACCAACACATTCGGACACAGCTGTCTATCTGAATTAGATTTTGTTATGTCATGTGCCACACCTACCCAAATAGAAATCATCAATAGATGTATGCTTATGATGAATATACATAGGTCGAATTCAGATCTAGTCTAAAATTCAAAAGCTATCAGAATCCTTCTTCAGCACATTTGCCATCTTTTATCTCAAGGGGCCAGCACATGCTGTAACGTCAATCTCTGCACCTGTACATTCTCCCCTCCAAGTCACTGATCATGTTTTAAAAGACATCCATTGTTTAAGTTCCTTCAAATCCCTGTTTGTTATGACATCTTTCTCAGTCTTCACAAATTGAATTAATCTTATCTTCCTCTGATCTCTCGGATGCTTTCCCAGCTTTTATCAGAATCTGCCTTGAATTAAAGTTACTTGTGTTTTTCTCATACTCTTGAGTTGAGCCTATGTAGGGCAGGGACCATTATTTACTCATCTTTTTATTTCCTTCACCCAGCTGAGAGTTTAGCACAAGTTGGGCTGAAACAAATAGAAAATTCACTTATTTAAGCATTAAATGACTTGTCCTTTAAGATCTGGGGCCCAATGTGACTTTTAAAATAGGATTCTAAGCTTCTTTACTCCTCCAAGATAAAAAGAGATTTCTCATTTTCAAGGAACAGTTTATATTCTATTCCCTGCTTTTTGAAAGTTTATGTTATGCCAATTCAATTCTATGAAAGACCTATTTTATGTTAGACCTGTTAAATCAGGACCTGTTTTCACTAACTGAAAGAATTGTAAGTGGATTTTCACTTTAAAGTCAGAAGATAATAAGAGGAAATAGTGTTCAGAATTTGCTTTGCAGCAGCTGTTCTATAGGCAACGCATACTCCAAGGAGAGAGAGTGCATCTGTAAGCTCCTTCTCTGGTAACTCTTTAATTCTCTTTAATAATGTTATTTGTCATCTCACTCCTGCTTTTACTATATGTTAGTGCCATTTCAAGTTTTATGCATTATTAGGTATGATTTGGTAGATTATTTTGGGGGCTGGGAAAACTAAATTTTTTCCATATAAATTAATGTTAATACTTATTTATATTTATACCATTTCAGTTTTTGAAAGGTTTTATAAGAAAGTTATGCTTTTGGATAGCAGGTGAAATGTGTGTGTGTGCGTGTGTGCATCTGAAGTTTAAAAATACTCATTAAGGTGTATACCACATCACCTATAATAATTCTAACAATAATGAAACAGACAAATTCAGAATGTGGGGCTTTCTAAGATAATAGATCCAGACTATCAAAAAAAATGTGTTATCATAGATAACAAACCATCCAACCAAAATGACAAGGAGAGTGTTCTATATTCCAAACAAATAAGCAAAACCATAAGCAAAGTCAATGCATGAACATTCATTAGATCCTTGATTAGAAACAGTCACAAGGGCCTTCCCTGTGGCGCAGCGGTTGAGCGCTGGGTTGCGAAGCCGGTTCAATCCCCGGCTGCACCCCGGCCACCAGAAGAGGGTCCCGCATGGTGCGCAGACCTCTCCTGCCACCCGCTGCTCCCCTCAGCAGTGTACTTCGGTCCTTCTGTCTGCTCTGCTCCCAGCTCTGGCTCTGGTGAATTCTCTCACCCTCCCGCGCTCCTGACTGTACCCAGTGCTTGTATAAATAAATAAATAAATCTAAAAAAGAAATAAAGAAATAAAGAAGTGAAGGACAAAATATTTAAAAAAAAAAAGAAACAGTGACAAAAGATATTTGGGGACAATGGTGAAATTATACATGAGATCTTTGTATTAAATTAATATTATATTTCAACATAATGATTTTAATACTGCATTAAAGTGGAAGCATATCTCTATTTGTTAAGAAATACACAGAATTATTTCTGAGCAAAACGCAAAGTATCAGCAATTTTTATTTTTCATTTTCATTTTTAAATTTAAAATTTTTTTTAAATTGAGGTAACTTAGGTTTACAACAGATTGTGTTTTAGAGGGACAGGATCTCCCCCTTCAGGTGTACCATACCATACCCACCCCCACAGCGCCCGTAGTCCTCACATAGTTCATTTTGCTTCCTCCCCACTTTGCACTTGCTCACCCCCTTCCCCTTCCTTCTCTGGTAGCCTCAGTTTTAGCATCAGATTTCTAGGGTTTCTTATTAGTTTGGCTCCATCTGACCTTTTATTTTATTTCTCTGCATTCCACATGTAAGTTACACCATCTGGTATTGTCTTTTTCCTTCTGACTTACTTTGCTTAGCATAATCCCATCCAGTTCCATCCATATTGTTGCAAATGGCAAGAGTTTATTTTTTTGAATAGTTGGGTAGTATGCCATTGTATTTATATACCACATTTTCCCTATCCACTCATCTGTTTTTGGGCATCTGGGTAGTTTCCATACTTGACTGTTGTAAATAGAGCTGCACTAAAACTGTGAGTGTTTTATGTTCCTTCTATTGATGTGCTTGCATAGTTCAGGCAAACGCCTAGGAGTGAAATGGCTGGCTCATATGGTAGATCTATTTTTAATATTTTGAGCAAACCTCCATAATTTTTCCCACAGGGACCGGACAAGTCTACATTCCCACTAACAGTGTAAGAGGGTTCCTTTCCCCCCACATCTTTGCCAGCGATTGTTGTTTTGGTTTTTTGATAAGGGCCATTCTCACAGGTTGTGAGGTAGTGTCTCATTGTGGTTTTGATAGCAACTTAATTTTAAATGTGTCAGTCAAAATATGTCAAGAGGAAGTCAAAGTAGGAAAATATTAGGAATTAGGAAATCTACATGAAGAGTATAAAAGGTATTTTATGGTGTACTATTTTTTCAGTTTTCCTGTAGTTAAATTTTTTTTTCAAAACAGTTAAGTGGAGAAAAAGAAAAAAGGAAAACATTGAAAGAATTGGTGTAATCAACCATGTTCATCTCAGGCCATTATGAAATAAATTGTAATTATCATTATTAATTAAGCAATTATTTATTATTGAATACTTATTTTAAAATTAATAATTACACACTGAAAACAAATAATTTATTTGGGTATTGATATTTAGTGTGACCAGCTAGGTGTGAGCCCTTACTGTATTGTAAGAAATACTAAATCAGAAATATACAGTTTTGCCCCTCACTAGGTAGATGTCTCATACTTTCTGGTTTATACTTTTAGTTTATTTATTTAAAGATTTATTTATTTATTTATACAAGCACTGGGTACAGTCAGAAGCGTGGAAGGGTGAGAGAATTCACCAGAGCCAGAGTGGGGAAAAGAACAGGCAGACTGACGAAGCACACTGCTGAGGGGAGCAGCAGGCGGCAGGAGAGGTCTGCGCGCCATGTGGGACCCTCGCCCAGCAGCTGGGGATCGAACCGGCACTGTAGAGGCTGTGGGCAGCTTCACAACCCAACACTCAACCGCTGCGCCACCAGGGGAGGCCATGGTTTATACTTTTAAAGAAAATAAACTCTGGAGGAAATAGAGTAAGGGTGTACAAGTAATGTAAATTTTCACTATGAGCAACTTTAGAAATATTTAACAAACCCTAACTTTTCATTATTACAAACCTGTTTAAATCATCTGCTATTTTTTAGCTATCTATAAAAGTGATGATATTGAGTTGTGTGCCCTTTTTCTAAGTAAAAAGCACCCTCTCAAACTTGTATTTTGCTTGGCTGTGGCTAAATCTATCTGGTTGATAGAAGCAAAGATATAAATATATTGGTGTAAAAGGACAAATAAGAGATAAGACTTTGTATTTATTGCCCATTTATGTAATTACATGTGTCACTAAGGACAAAGGTCTTTAAAGCAAAGACAAAAGGCAGAGTAGAAACAGTTCCCTACAGAAAGATAGATGGATTTGCTGCCACTTCCCTTTATATGAATTTTTTTATTGCACGTTTGCATATCCTTCTGGTTTTATAATCACATTTGAGAACTTAACCATCTTTTCTGGGAACAAGTCGATGACTGAAGATATGCTTCATTCCAATAAAAAGAAAATGAAGATTTTTCAAGAGCATTTATAGTCTTCGAGAACAGCACTTCCTTTCTGAGGTCTGATGACTCTTGTTTTATGAGGAAATATTATTAGGGCCACAGCACCATGGATGTGGTAGGCGAAAAGGAGGCCTTGCAGCAGTTCTTTGAAGGTAGGAAACCAGTTTCCAAGATGAAAGTTATAGCTTCTAAGAAATGGACTCTCGGTATCACTGTTTCACCTTTTTGAAATGCAATGAAACTTGGTCCTGGGAGAAAATTCTATCATACTAATTCTTTGGAAATCAGAAGTGGAGGTTTATTTGTTGTGTTTATAGGAAAAATAAGTACAGATAATGATTTTTTAAAATACAAGAGTTCCATCTTATAACTTGGTTGAGTTAAGGGGTGCGTGTGTGGGAGGGCTGGGGTACAGTGCATCTATGTTACTATTGTGGGTCCATATCTTGTGCGAGATTTTAGCCTTCTAATCTTGTTTAAAATTTTTTTTTATCTCTAAATGTCTTGAATCTAGCACCAAAAAAAGTAAGATTTTAAGGACAGTTTTTCTCTCAGTATAATTAATACAAAACAGCTTAAATCAGCAAAAGAACTTACACCTCTTCCCGCTCCCTCAGCTTTATTTTTCATAACGTGTTAAACATGTGTAACTGAATAATGACTTTTTTCTGAAGTTAGATATCTTCCCCACGGAGAGGCATGATTACACAGATTTTCTTCCCTCTGAAGCCTGAAAACGGCAGTGCAGCTTCTCCTATTTACTCGGGCTGATAGGCAGATGTTGCCTCTGTTAAAAATGTCAGCGAAAATGTCAGCGAGGGTTTGTCCTCTCGTGGCACCTCTAAGGTTACTCTTTTTTTTTTTTCTTAAAAATGTATACCTTTATTTTATATGTACCCTTTAATACACTGTAGTCACATGTTGAAATACACATCAGTGAAAGTGAATGACAGCTATATACAACAAAATTATGAATCTTCGATTAATAATGCTGAGTGAAAAAAAAATCCTCATAGACTATATTTAATGATGCTAATTTTATAGAGCTCAAAAAGAAACAAAATTTAAAAACATCACTTTAGGGACACATACATATTCAGGTCTTTTTACATGTGTGATAAAACTATTAGAAGAAGGCAGTGCAGTGGAGACAGTAGAGGAACTCATGTAGATAAATGCAAAGTGTGGGTAATGTTCTAATTATTAAGTAAATTCTCATTATACTTGATAATTTATTTACACATCACATTTATCCCTTAAAATATCAAATATTAAAATATTTAAGTGCAAAATGATGCATAAAGTGTTGACAATTTATATTTGCATTTGCATGTATTTTTAAATACTATTTGATCAGAGTTCTTAATAATAGGCACTAGGTATTTAAAAGGTTGAATGGAATTGACCCCAAACCAGACAGTGCCAAACATGAAAGAAAATTTTACCAAAGAAATAGTGAGATTGTAAGTCACTCTCACAAGGAATCAACACAAGATGAAAGTTTGTGTAATGAGCATTTGGACAGAATGGCCAGAAGGAGTGTAAGACCAACAGATCTATCATATTATTTCAACCCTAAAGTCCATCCCATAGAGTGTTCTGTCTCTGACAGTGGCTGAGTCAGAGTGTCTGCCTGGGTCATGTGGGTACACATTAGGGACACTTACGCTGTTCTGTTGTTCCTACTTGATTTGACATCCTATGTAACTTTCATTCCAGTAGTAGATAGCAAGCTCCAAGCGACAGTTACATCTGTTTATTTTAGAGAAACCACCAATTTGTTTTATAAATGCAAAAGCTTCAGAACAGAAGGCTGAAATTATCTGATAGAATTTTCTGGATTTGGAGGTGTTGTGATCCTGGGATCCCTATATTGTCCTTGTTTATACTATTTTCAGAGTCTCTGGGAATTTTGTTTCCACACGTCCCCTATGTAGCTTCTTATAATACCTCATTATTATCATACCATCTTTCTTAGCCTAAAATTAAACTCTCTTGCTCCTGAAGCTTTTCCATGAAGGGGGAGTCATTTCCCTATGGAAAGAGAATAAGATGGTTAGTGCTTTTCTTACATTATCTTTGAATGAATACATGGAAAGATGGCACATTTACTTTAGGAATAAACAAAAGAATAGAGGCACTAGCTTAAGCTATTCCTTTCCCCTGAAGATCACAGAGAGAAGTGCTATTTTTTAATTACCTTCCAGATTCAGTAAAATCTATTATCTGCTATGTACTAAGTCTGATAACCATCTCTTAAGTGATAGCCTGTAGGGCATTGAAACCTTCCCCTTGGATAATAGTGATTTCTTTTTTTTTTTTTTTTTTTTTAAATAGAGGCATGTTTTATTTATTTATTTGTTTGTTTGTTTGTTTTGTTTATACATGCACTGGGTACAGTCAGAAGCGCGGGAGGGTGAGAGAATTCACCAGAGCCAGAGCGGGGAGCAGAGCAGGCAGAAGGACCGAAGCACACTGCTGAGGGGAGCAGCGGGCGGCAGGAGAGGTCTGCGCGCCATGTGGGATCCTCCTCCGGTGGCCAGGGAGCAGCCGGGGATCGAACCGGCGCCGCAGAGGGCGCGGGCAGATTCGCAACCCAGCGCTCAACCGCTGCGCCACCGGGGAGGCCCAATAGTGATTTCTTTTCTCAAACATTTCTTAGAATGAATGCATCAAAACTACATGGTATTTTAATGAGGGAAGCCTTTTTTGCATGTTGTGGTCATGGCGACATGACAGCTTCTCATTAAAAGCAATCTCATATATAGAATAAAGGTCTGAGAACATAGAACAGTTTGGGCAATTTGTTACCCACAGAGAGCTATTTTTCTCTATTTCTATAGGCACTTCATTTTAAGAAACTAAGCCCTAAATTATGTATTTTCCTTATGGACACTTCCATATACAAAAAGTATCCTGATTGACAATATCATTTTGAATCAAATGGCCTTAAGTGTCAAAGCTCATGATGATCTTAGTTATTACTTACCAATTTTAAACATACCTTACTATGCTGTGTTTCAGTAAAATGTCAGGGACAAAGGGTGATTCCAGGTATCTGGCAGTTATAGTTCAAATTTAAATCCCCTGTCACTGATGCAGTAGGCAGGCAGTAGAAGAGGTGGGTCAAGCTCTCTAGGGATTCCAAGATTCTCTGCAAACTCAGATACAATCTGAGATGTTTGACTTTTTCTGCAACATTGATACCACTATAACACAAATGCCACAAGAGAAGGACATTATTTTATTTATAATAAACAAAAATTAGTTACAACCTGAATTTCTGATAGTGGTGGATTAGTTAAATAAATTATTATTTATCTATTGGAATATTTTGTAGATATTAAAATAATGATAAGGAAAGGTGATATAATGGGGAAATGGTTGACAAATTGTTATGTGTAATACAGTTGAATATACATCTTTTTTATTTATTTAATTTTATTTTTTTACATCATTGTTCATTTTTAAACAATATTTGCTTCCCTCCCTCCCTCTGATCCCTCTCCCGCCTCCTCCCCTGCAGGATGTCTCTGATTTATAATTGTCTGTTTTTGCTTTGTTGTGTTTTGTACTGTTATTATTTTTTTACATTGAGAATATACATCTTTTTAGAGCAGTTTACTAGCACTTATTTGAAAACAATATATATATACATATATGTACACAAATAATATATATACATACATGCACATACATAATATACTTGAAGTGTTAATATCTCTTAGTATAGGAATATGGAGATTTTAATTGCTTTATACTTTATCATATAAGTGCTTCATAATTAAATGAATAAATTAATATTACAATTAGATGATCTTAAATAAAGGAGAATAATTTAGCAAAACTTTTGCTTAAGGTCCATGTGTAAAGAAAATTATATAAGATGTTGATGTAGACGAAAAAGACTGCTAGATGTTTTCTGTAGAAAATGAAGCCTACATCGAATCTTTCTGACTTAGATTTTATGCAATTTGTTTGTTTCGTTGTCTTAGAGAAACTAAACTGCTAAATATGGTGTAGAGGGCAGTACCTGCCCAGTACCAGGGTTGGTACTAGGTAAACCTGTCTTACAGGTAAAGGGCATATTTGGCTCAGTTTAGTCTCTTACTTTTTTTTCCACTTTGGGACCACTACTTTCTCACCCTCTCACAAAATTGGCGCCTTTAGGCCCTCTGCATTCAGTCAATAAATAAAACCAATATAACCCGAGCTTGCACAGAAGGTACATATGACAAATGATCTGATGCCACCTCACAGCTCCATAGTGCCTTATATTCAACATGCTTTCATAGAATGTGAAGCTGTTTTGATCAAATGATTCAGAAAAGTTATCTTTCATAAGGGTGGGTTGGGTTGAGCTCTTATGGTGGGATTTCAAACATCCTGAAGCATCCTCGCTTCTCTGAAATATCCCACAGAAGCAGGGGCTCCCTGTTTATTGGGGAGGCCGCTTCTACTATGTGCGGTGACAGCATGGACTTCCCAGGAAACTGGAAACAAGAACATGCCAAGGACAGCAAACATTAGCCAGATCATGCAAACAACTTATGATTATCTGAGCATTTCTATCTGATATTGGTAGATGGTTAGACTATGTTGCCTTAATATGAAGCATCTGAACAAAGAGATGCTGGCTGAGTGGCACCAAGAAATCCCTTTTTCTTTCATGCTGGGATCCCTAAGGTGAAGGCAATTTACTTAGAATTTAAAATATGCTGTAACATCGTAAGTACCCTGCTCACACCTTGCTTTAGAGACCTTCTGGGGTTGTCACCATCTCTAGAGGATACTGTAACAAAATCACCCAGACCAACCTTCCTGAGAGGAGGCTCCACCACCTTCTTTGGTGTTATTGATGTCATCATCTTTTCAGCTTGGGAATTAGCACTGGGTTTCAGGAAGACTCCACAATGTCTCAGAACTTCAATACATGGACAACTTTGATTTTAAAATAGAGATAACCTAAAAACACAAAGCTTTATATCACTAATAATCTTAAAATTTCCCTGAATCTTCTGCGTTTTTAAAAAACAGAACGTGGGATAATACTATTTATATTATTTAATAATGGACTTTTCCATTATTAATGTTCAGTAGACTGAGCATTTCTTATCATTATTTATCTTCAACAGTCATCTTCAAAACTATA